GTGACTTTAGCTTGGAGAGTACAGTGGTCAGAGCAGGCTGAATGCTGCCAGTCTGTGACTTTAGCTTGGAGAGTACAGTGGTCAGAGCAGGCTGAATGCTGCCAATCTGTGACTAGCTTGCAGAGAGTACAGTGGTCAGAGCAGGCTGAATGCTGCCAGTCTGACTTTAGCTTGGAGAGTACAGTGGTCAGAGCAGTCCGAGCTTACTCAGTATGATGCAGGTCCAGACATCCTGGTTTTCTGTTTCAGAAGTGCAAATGTGAGTGAGTCTTACTCTCTCTACTACCTCCCTCTGTGAGCTGTAAAGTTAAAGGGAGCTGTTGGAACACCCCGAGAGGCTCGGCTAGCGATTGCCTGAATGAGATGCAGGTCTCACCCACTAAGAGTCCCCCGTTGGAGCCTCCGTTGATCGTGAGCCTCTTGGGAGATGTGTAACCTTCCTTGATGAGGTACTCAGCAGCACACTGGAAGTCATCAAAGCAGTTTTGCTTGTTGGCCAAGATACCACCTACAGAGTGAAAGACAATTAAAGACAACACCCGCATAAAAGCAAGTAACAACTACATGGATTGCAAATGAGGAGTGTGTTAGGTTTCCAGTGCTGACCAATGTCAACGACGGTTGCTTAAGTCACACTGATAGAAGGGCCTCAATTGCACTGTTATGGACTATGGAAATCTCAGTAGCACAACTGGGAACCCATACGGTGAATTTGTATTTTATTGACAAACTGTACAACTTAGGTAAGTTAGAAGCCCCCAGAAAGAAAAAGACCATGTGAGAGAATTGTGACATTAAAAGAATCTCTACTTTAAGAAGCTAAATGAGAAATGGACCAAGGACTGATGTGGCCATCAGTCCTCCGAGTTCCATGGAGCACACACCACCGGAAGCTAGTGGCATGGGCTGCTCACGCTTCCTGCCATGGAGAACTCACCCTTCCTCTAGGCAGTGTTTTAGAGAGAAATGGTCCAGCTATGCTCAGCCACTAATTTAAACGAGATGCCAAGATTGGCTGTTAGTGGGGCTGCAACGGGGCCGAGCAGGAGTTTCTGACTGTCAGATGTCTCCCGAGGGACCATCTGAGCACCATCATCCACCGCCTGTATGCAGCCCCTTCCTATGTGTGTGCCAATGGAGTCACTCAGTGAGAAAGCTACAGGACCTCGGAACACCGAAAGGGAAGGCCTCAGAGGACAGAGGCCTGTGAATGAACAAAGCAGACCCAGATCTAATTAGATAGTCGAGATTAACCACTTGTGCAGAAATTCAATTAAAGATGAAGCAGTGCTACTGAAAGAAAATTTTTTTTACATCAAAACAAATGTTATTAAGATTCTAATAAGCAATTACTGGTGAATTAGAACAGCGAGGATTACTTAGTTTCCAGGAACAATAGCCCTTGGTGCATATGCCTATTTTTAAAAGTGCATTACATTTTAAGCATATAAAGAGAATGAGAATTGGATCCATCGCGCTCTGAACACCAGGCTAGAACTGGAGAAGGAACCTTCCTTCTGCTCCTTTCACTAATGCTTTCAAGCAGGAAAAACAAACAAACAAACAAACAAAAACCAACAACAAAAAAAAAACAAACAAACTCAAAACTAATTTAGTCTTAGTCAGGCTCCAGGCTGCTGTTCCCGAGGCTTTGGGTAGTGGCTGGTGTAGTTAATGAATGGGTGTAGGAAGTAGACCAGGACCAAGGGCACTGTCCCTGATAGACCATGGGGTCCATTTCCTAGGGGGTGAATCTGGTTCAGGAGCTGGCCCCAAGAGCACAGTCTGTGGTCAGGATATTGTGCGTATGAATAACTATATAAAAATTAGATGAGTCAAACAGGCTAATCTCAGACTATGAATTTGGGTTGAAATGAAATTTATGCTATGTATATATTTTTCCTTTTTTCAACCATCTTTTTGTACATAGCCCTGTATTTAGGGTAACTGAGATCCATCTACTATCTGGTCAAAAATCACAGTCACTGTTTCAAATATGGTGACAACGGGGTATGTTGGGGCACTGGGTCCTGCCATGACACTCCTGCAGTTTGGGTGATGTCAGGTAGCCCATGAGTCTGTGCTGGACACCAGGGCCAGGGCTTGGCCTCTCTAGGCACGTAGGGATCTTTTTATACGCTCACTCTTGCTGCTGAATTGATACAGGAAAGCAGAGCCATGGGCCTTGGAGAGTGGAGAAGAAGTGTCTCTGATGTTCCCGCACTGAGGGAAGACACCTGTTGACTGGGGTCAATGACACCCGCTAGCACTGCTGACCACTCGGTCACGTGGCAAATGAATGCAG